CAGTTTGTGTTTGGCCAATTCGTTTGAGTAGTGTTTTTGCAAGTTCATTGTGTTTGGACAATCTATCTATCTATATTATTATAAAAGCATGAATACAATGTCGGTTTACAAAAATAACCTTATAATATTAAGCATAATAATTCATAATAAAAGGACATAACCGGAATTCTAGATATTAGCCTTATAATCCTATTAGTTTTAGGTTACTACTTACGCTAGCTTCAAATTAAATGCAAAAGGACTTATTGTTATTTTCGTGAGTGAAATCTAACAATGAATTTGATCCATTTACTTATCCACGTGATAATTTTTACAATTTGGTTCCAACATGATAGAGGAACAAATTTTGTGTCCAAACTTATTTATAATTCTATATTTATTAACCGGAAGAACTCATAGGGAAATGACATAACTGCAACAACCTATTTTTTGAACTACAATATGTTCTATGTTAATTTTTAATATATAAAATTAATAAAATCTTGTCTATTAAATTCTTATTAAAAATATGTAGGAAGGTTTAATAAAACCAATTTCATAGGAATCCTCCGAATTGGCAATACATTACCACTACATAATATCCCATACGAAGAAAAAATAAAAGTAATATTAAATAGAATGCATAAAGATTTAAAATTGAGCATAATAACTCATAATAAAAGGACATAACCGGAATTCTAGATATTAGCCTTATAATCCTATTAGTTTTAGGTTACTACTCACGCTAGCTTCAAATTAAATGCAAAAGGACTTATCGTTATTTTCGTGAGTGAAATCTAACAATGAATTTGATCCATTTACTTATCCACGTGATAATTTTTACAATTTGGTTCCAACATGATAGAGGAACAAATTTTGTGTCCAAACTTATTTATAATTCTATATTTATTAACCGGAAGAACTCATAGGGAAATGACATAACTGCAACAACCTATTTTTTGAACTACAATATGTTCTATGTTAATTTTTAATATATAAAATTAATAAAATCTTGTCTATTAAATTCTTATTAAAAATATGTAGGAAAGTTTAATAAAATTAATTTCATAGGAATCCTCCGAATTGGTAATACATTACCACTACATAATATCCCATACGAAGAAAAAATAAAAGTAATATTAAATAGAATGCATAAAGATTTAAAATTGAGAAGAAAAAAAATACCCCACGATAATATATTTTTATATTATATTTGAACTATTTTCCTACTCAAATAATATTTTTTAATTAATTTTTCATGTAAATATTGAAAAATACTCAATTATTGAACAACAACTAAAAATATTTAAGAATATAAATGTGTGAGAAAGAGAAAAAAATGGTTGGTGAGTCATAAAACTAATGATTCTACAAACATAAAGATCTAAAAGTGAAATTCACTATCAATTTTTTACTCTTTGAAAATAAAATTTATAGTGGATAAATTATAATTAAGATTAAATAATCAAAACAAGAGATGAACTAATTTAGATCTGAATCAACATAGAATAAATTATTTTTATATTAAAATCAAATAATTAAATCTTTTAATTAATTATTTGCATGAGAATCCAATTCAATTACTTTTTTAAATTCATCATATGAGTAAATTCTTTATTCAAGTTAAAAAGATCTTAGGGTACATAACTTTATTTCATAAAAAGACGTTAAACACAAAGTAAAAAGGTTAGTATATCATTAAGAATCAAAAATACTATATGCAAGTTTATGAGGAAGCACAATCAAAGCTAAATCTTTAAACAAGATACGTTTCAAGACTTATATAATAGAGTCGACTCTGGTTATAACGCGATTATTCTTTGTAGATGCTCTGGCGAAATGAAATAATATTTTGTATGTCATGCATTACTTGCAAATATATATCAACAGGCATGACACTATTAGCAAAAATAGCAAGTGGTGTACCCACAACGATTTTATTGTGAGACAATTATTTTAGATTTGATATACCTCTTCAAACAACTTATTATAACCATCACAAAATAGACCAAAGCAGAAGCAATGGTGATAAATTATATAAGGAAAGCAAAATTGATATATGGGATGAAACACTTATGGCTAAGTGTCAAACGGCATTGACCGGAGTTCTAGAGATATGTTGGATATGAATGAATCGTTTGCTGAAAAATTAATTGCTTGGGAGACGATTTCCGTCAGGTACTACCAGTAGTTCCAAAATCGACAAAAGCAGAGACTGTAAAAGCTAGATTGCCAAAGTTATACTTCTGGCCTCAAATGAAAAAGATTCAACTTACAAGAAATATAAAGTAAGAATAGATCCAATATTCAGTGTCTCCGTGCTTCGTGTCGGAAACGAAGAAGAGCATCCAATAAAGATGATTTGTTCTTCTTTAAACACTTGGTTATCCAATCCCAATGATAATAATAGTGCATTTAATATGAGAAATATTTTTATCATTAGATTAAAATATAATTTGTGCAAAATGCGAAATAGAATTAAAAATATATCTTAGCTAGAAATGAATATGTTGATCAACTAAAAAGGTTGATTGTAAAATTTTATAGTAAAAACAAAAATATTTTTCAATTTTTGATTCAGTAGAAATGATACCAATAATTTCTACAAGAAGAATACTTAAATACTTTAAACAATGACCTTCAACCATACACGTTTGTTGTCAAGTTTCTTATTTTTTACGTATATTACTGTCACCGTATATATAATAGACTAAGTGAAAATTGATCTTCATTGTATATAGGTTAATTTTGAAGAAAAATATGTCTGTCATGCTACTGAAAACTTAGATTACGCCGAGTGGCTTATGTATATAAACAGATGGTATATAGAAGTTTGACAATAATGTCATACATGCAAAAAATTTGATATTGGTTAATATGTTTCTAAGTATATTCTTATCCCTGAATTCAACTTTCGTCTTTCGAAACTAAGGAATATCCTTTTAAATTTGTGTGAAAATAATTTTTTAGTGTATTTATGTTTGTAAATATATAAATAAAGCGCAAGGACAAACATCCTAAATATTGGACTATATTTACCACAATATATTTTCTTGCAAGAACAACTGTATGCTGCACTTTCAAGAGGGATATCAAGATCGACCAAAGTGTTCTGGTTAAGGCAGAGCGACGAGCGCATTAGGAGAAAAACATACACAAAAAAATATTTTCCACAAGAAGTGTTCGTTAAGATACCATCACATTAATACTTTCAAACTATAATATATAATTTTTCTAACTAACAGGATAAAATTGATCATTTGTGCAAGATTTGATAATGTCCTTTTATTTTAAATTCACGTATTATGATAATTATGTAATAATATTTTTCGGCATTTAGATGATTGTTGTATTGTTATACATAAAAAATTTCTCAGTAATTAAATTTTGTTGTTCCTTCATATAAATAAATGTTTAAATCATCACGTGCCATTATTAACGTGCAACGCACGTTCATAGATACTAGTCTTTTAAAAAAGTACTTTTAAATATCAAATTAAAAAATGACGGTAAAAGTTTAATTTGCAACTAGTATCATTTAGAAAAGAAAAATAATAAATATTTATAAAAGAAATCAATTAAAATATAAAACATAAAGTAATAATATAAATTAAAACTTTCATGCAATAAAATATGTTACTTTAAGGCAATAACATTGACTGTTTGGTATTACTTATATTTACATGATAATTTAAATATATCAAAATACATCATCAATTTAAATCTAAAATCTACTCTTAGGAATAAGATAAAGAGAATAAAATTATGATTAAAATAAAAAGAGAAGAAATATACAGTAGAAATAAAAAAAAGGAAAAGAAAAAGAAAAATGTTAAATTAATGAAAGATAATTTGAAAAATATAAAATTATTGTTAGGTTATTTTTGTCTTGAATAAATTAATTTTCTGATTCTGCTTCTTCGAAGAAACTGAATTTATAGCTATTCCCCAAAAGCAAAAAAATTACTTCTGCTCAAAAGTACTTTTTTATTTTGGCCAAATACCTTGAATTTATCAACAACAACAACAAAAAAAGTACTTTTGGTCTCGGAAAAGTTTGGCCACTCTAAAGTCTCATTTGTTTGCACTTAATGGAGGTCTGAATCTTAATCATTCAGATCTCAGACATTAAGTGCATTTATTTTTAAAGTGTGAATCTTAATTATTCAGATCTTAATCATTAAGTGTGTTTGTTTTTTCTACTTCACACCCACTTAATGAGTCTGAATAGGTCTGTATGATTAAGATCCATAGCAGAGACTTAATTTCACTAAGATGCTGTCATCTATATTTATTATTAATTGTCGCCACCGCCTACCATTATCAACTACCACCATGTCGCCGCCACCACCACCATACTCAATCACCACCACTACCATCATCCTCAATCATAACTGCAACCATAATCGACTACCACCACCCACCATCCACACCACTCCTACCACCATCATTCTCAATCACAAAAAACACCCACCCCCCTCAACTACCACAACTAACCCATTACCATCAACAATCATAACCGGCACTGCATATCATTATTAACTACAACCACCCACCACCACCTTCCTCAATCACAACTATTACCACCACCCGCCATTATTAACTATCACCACTCACCACCACCATTCTCAATCATAATCGCCACCACTACTAATCACCACTAGATACTACCCTGAACCACAACCATCAACCACACCTGCCACCAACCACCGCCTCTAGTCGGCATTCACAATCACCACCGTTAGCCATCACCACCAGCAACTACCATATTTTAAAAAAATGATGTATTTTATTGATAGACTTAGATTAATTAGTATTTCATTTGATTTTATGTTTATTAATTTTTAAATAAAAATAAATTTTATACATTCAGATGTTAAAAATCAAACAGTCTTATTAATTTAGTATTCAGATCTTAATGCACATCCTGATATCAAATTTAGACGTAATCTTTAAAAAAAAAAAAATGAGGCTAAGTTAGTGAGAAGTGATGTTAATTAATTTGTGGCCACAGTCAAAACCGAATCTAGCGCTGTCAATGAGATGGTATTAAATTTTTGAGTCCCGAAACTGACAGTAAGAATTGAGTCATCCATGCGACTTGCATGGGCATAAACGCAGCCTCCGTTCTGAACCATCTCATCAATGGCGAACCCACCACCTCCAAAGCGCCAAGGTCTCAAGAAGCAAAAGCCTTAACTACCACAATCCTCAACCACCTTCGTTTAGGCCGACTTGGAAAGGCCGTCTCTGTTTTATTCTCAGCTCCAGTACCTTTCCCTTTTGATCTCTATGCTCATCTCTTCAGAATCTCTGCCTCTAAGAAGGCCATTGTCGAAGTCCGTAAAGTGGAGTCCCATTTGGTCAGTTTCGCCCCAACCCCACCTGTGTTCTTGCTCAATCGAGCTATTGAGGCGTACGGTAAGTGTGGGTGTTTGGCTGACGCTCGAGAGCTGTTTGATGAAATGCCTCAAAGAGATGGTGGGTCTTGGAATGCTATGATTACTGCTTATTCACAAAATGGGTATTCTGGGAAGGCATTGGGCGTTTTCTCTGATATGCATAAGTCTGGTATTTTTGCTGCTGAGGTCACTTTTGCAAGTGTTCTTGCTTCGTGTGCCTCTACCTTGGCATTTTGGCTTTCTAGACAGGTGCATGCCCTCATTTTGAAATATGGTTTTGGCGGTAACGTGATTTTAGGGAGTTCACTTGTAGATGTATATGGCAAGTGTTGGAGAATGGGTGATGCGCGGAGAATGTTTGATGAAATTGAGAGTCCAAATGCTGTTTCTTGGAATGTGATTGTTAGGAGGTATCTTGAGATGGGCAATGGAAAAGAGGCTGTCTTTCTGTTTTTCAAAATGATTAGTCTTAATGCAAGGCCTCTGACATTTACAGTCTCAAATGCTCTAGTTGCTTGTTCTAGTTTTGGAGGATTTCGTGAAGGAATTCAAAGTCATGGATTTACAATCAAGATTAATTACGAAGAGGATGAGGTGGTTTCATCCTCTCTGATTGATGTGTATGTGAAATGCGGGGATTTGGTGAGTGCTCGGACGATGTTTGACCTGCTATCCCCCCAAAATTTGATTCATTGGACTTCTATGGTGTCAGGATATGCCATGAGTGGGAAAACCAGGCAAGCTAGGGAGCTTTTTGATAAGATGCCTGAACGCAATATAGTTTCATGGAATGCAATGCTAGCAGGATATGCGCGTAGTTCACAATGGGATGAAGCAATGGAGTTAATTGTTTTAATGTGTAAAGATACGAGGGACATTGATCATGTGACTCTCAGTTTGATCCTAAATGTTTCTGCAGGGCTTTCTGATGTTGAGTTGGGAAAACAGGTTCATGGATATATATATAGGCATCGTTTCTACTCCGACTTGTCCGTTGCCAATGCACTTCTTGATATGTATGGAAAATGTGGGAACTTGAGAAGGGCTAGAGCTTGGTTTTACGAAATGAGTCATTTCCGAGATATGGTTTCTTGGAATGCTTTGTTGAGTAGCTATGCTCGTCATAGGATGAGTGAAGAAGCTTTAGTAATTTTCTGGGAAATGCTAGGAGAGGCAACACCTAGTAAGTTCACTTTTGCTACTCTCTTGGCGGGTTGTGCAAATATCTTTGCTCTTGAACATGGTAAACAAATCCATGGATTTATGATTAGAAATGGTTATGATTTGGATATCGTGATTAAAGGAGCTTTGGTTGACATGTATTCCAAATGTCGTTGTCTTGACTATTCACTGAATGTTTTCATTGAGACTCCTGTGAAAGATGTTGTTCTCTGGAATTCTCTGATGCTGGGATGTTATTATAATAAACGAAGTGAAATATTATTTCAGTTGTTTGAGGTAATGAAGGAGGACGGTGTGAAGCCTGATGGTACTACTTTCCAAGCTGTATTGCTTGCATGCATTTCTCAGGGTTGTGTGAAATTGGGTAGGCTGCTTTTCAATTCATTGAGTGATGATTACTTTATTATACCACGTTTGGAGCATTATGAATCTATGATTAAGCTATATGGTCTGTATGGATTCTTTGACGAGCTTGAAGATTTTGTTAAGAAGATGCCATTTCAACCAACACCCCCTATGTTAACAAGAGTTTTTGACTTTTCCAAAGAGCACGGGAATACAAGGTTAGGAGAATGGGCTGCCAGACAACTTAATCTTCTGAAGGACTGAAATGTTCTATTCCATTCTGCTTCAAAGTTATGGATGAGAACTAACTTGTAACAAGGTTGGCCAAGGCTATTGTCACTAAAACATGTAGACACAACCTGCTTGCTGATTTTGAATTTTTGCAACAATATTTTGATTGCTGTCAGACCAATACTTTACTGGAGCCAAATATTGCAGACTCAGATCTCGGGAAAGTACTTGAACCTATGAGTATTTGCATAATTCAAACACAACAATATTTTGAACTGCAACACATAGAAGTTGCAGTTTAGGTGGCCGCTGCATAACTCTTGGTAATATAAATGCTGATCATCTGTGGTGGTTTTGGCATTTGCGACAAGGAAATGACTGCATGGTGGCTGTTTCTAACAGATAAATAGGGAACAGATCTTTCTTTTCCTGGTAATTATGTTACACCACTCATTTCTTCTTACCTTCGTATGATACATGTGTGAAAATTTAACGAAGAAAATTTCTTAAGACTTCCTTTGAAGTATGGAACTCCGATTAGATCATTGTTTACCATACCAACAGAAGGGACAGGTAGAAGTGGAAGTATGTTGTTGAAAAAAAAAGGGACGGCTATAAGTGTTAATTATTTTCATTTAGGTGTATAAATATTCTCCCTATGCATTATATAAGTTGTACTTTTTGTTCTGTTATGTGCTCTCTTGTGTATTCCTATTTTTTCTGTAACTTTTAGTTGCTTTTTCTGTTAAAGCATCTTACTTGGTGCTTGAGGATAATTTGGGTGGAGGAAAATGTGGTTGCTCCCTTTTAGTGCATATGATGTTGTACCGACTGCCTTTAATATATGCTTATTTATGAAATTTCTTTTGTCCAGTGAAGATTTCTAATTCCCTAGTCCTCGTCTACAGCTTAATGGTTTCACAATTGTTATACAGGTCTATTTAAATGTTTATAATAAATGGTTCTGGAAGCCAACATACAACTTCGGATATTTTCCTGCTTATTGCCTGAAATTCTGATCTTATACTCTTCGTATCGCAAATCTTATGTCATGGTTTGAACATTTTGGGTCAAGTTGATATTTCAGAAGTACATCTTCAGTCCTAGGGTTTCAAATGGGCCAGTAGGTCATCTTCTCATACCAAGCACCTACATCGTACCAGCTACTAAAAGAAGAAGGAAAAGGTCCAAATTTGCCCGTAAATTATGCCGAATGGTCTAACTTTTCCCTCCATTAATAGTTAGGATCAAAATGAGGCCCTGTCATGAAAAGAGCTCACTCATACCCTTATTCCGAGATGTAGCATTATTTGTTCAAATTAACTTCTAATTATACTTATTAACACCGGGCTGCCCTTTTTTTAACTTCTAATTACACTTACTAACACCTGGCATTTCCATGTGTCCCCACGTGGCGAAATTTTTAACCCATCCATTTTTACCAGCTCCTCTCTCCACCTCCTATCTCCATTTCCCTCCCCCACCACCAATACCACCACATATCTGAAACCCCTTAAAAGAGGCAAGACCACCTTCACTACCTCACTGCCACCTCCCATCCAGTATGGCTGAGATTCCATGGTCACTCTTTCTTGCCAGCGCCATCCTTCAACCAGAAAAGACAACCCTCACCCCGCAAAACAACTATCAAACCCATCAATACCCCAACGCGACATCAGCAATGAGAAAAGAACCACCAGTTCCATCACCTTCATCACCGGTGATGGCTTTCATAGTAACTATCGTAGCATCTCCTCTCATTTTCACCTCCTCAACCGGAAAATTGAAACCACTAGAAAAATCGGAACCACCACCTTAAAACTAGACCAGATACCACCCAACAACCACAACCTCCAGCACTGCTCCACTGCTCCATCACTTTCTTCAACTCGTTCCTCATCTCCTCCAAATTAGAAATCTACTATCACCACTCTCACTGCAATTTCTTCACATAAATCAACCTTTACCAAAAAATTGGCCGAATACTTGTGATCTATATAAAGCGGTTGTAATAGGGGATCTATGTACTATTCTTCGCATTTATAATGGAAAATTCTCTGCTTCTGCCCTGAGGACGTAGGTTTGGTCGAATCTCGTTAAATCCTAGTATTATTTCTTTTTCTCTATTTGCTTTGGTCTGATTGCGTGCTAGTGAAACCCATGATCTTCCGCAACAAGAAATCGTAGCAAGTTGGAGGGCAAGAAAGTTGAACGCCGGAAGAAAAGAACTTTTGGAGGTTGACCTTTTTGTATTTTTTGGTTGATTTGGAGGGAAGAATTAGGAGAATTTATGAGGTGTAGAAAACCTTTTTCTGGAGGGTTAAATTTTTTATTCCACTTATACTTCTGATGTGAGACAACTCTGATGTATTTCTATACTTCTGTAGTGCCACACCATGTTAGTTTCTTCTTTTGATAAAGGTAATGCGCCACCATGGGTGCCACATTAATGAAGTGCTTCAATTTTTTTCTTGGAAATATTCAGACTCCTTTTCTCAATCTCATAGCTTGTCAAGACAGGTAATTTTTTTAAGTACGGGGAAGCAATATGGGTATTTTTTTAGTTATGTCCACAACACTCGTGAAAATAAAAATTATTGTTTTAAGCAATTACATTTGCTAAATACTTTATTCGTTTTGGTTTTTCTCTTTTTAAGTAGGCAAGTGCTCCGAGGTGAGGGCTTTGTTTAGTGTTAACAGTGCAGCACGTGATGTGTGGGTTAGGCGAATGTCATGGGTTCGAATCCTGCTACAGAAAATGCATGCTTGTATTTAAGTGGAAAATGGTAGATGAGCGGGCCCATATCCACCAAGTTTTGAACCATGCGCCATTGGCCCTTGTGATTTCTTGGCCATAAAAATAATAAGCAAGTACATGACATGGATATATGTGCGTATCTTTGTATGAATAGTTTTAGAAGAGAATTTGAAAAAGCTGATTGGAGTTTCTACAATCAAAGTTGGGTAAGGACATGAGAACTTAATTTAAGGAGTACTTCTGAATTTACTGTTTCATTTCCTTGTACCTATTCAGTAGTATATGTTTGGTCGCATGGCAGATGAAAACCTAGCTGTCTTACTTGCTGAAACTTCTTTTTTCACTTGCAATAGGATATCCAATTGGGGCAGAAACAGATCGATGGCCAGTGAAGAACAGAAAGCTATTCAATCAAACAACAAGTCAAGGTCAATCCCCATAGAAAGTGGATGTAGTATTCTGACAAAGTTGCTTCAGAGAACGAACTCGGCACTGTCAGCCTTTTCACTTGAGCATGGTAGAACTAGTCTAAGGTGAACATGGGCGAAGAAATTGTTCTTAATTAAGATGTGATACAAGTAAATGTGTGTGAAAGAACCATTGTGGACTGCACCCCAGTTGCTATCATTGGACCAGCTGACAAGACTACTCAGACAGATGGATGCAAAGATGACACTGGATTGGGTTAAGCTGACTTCAGGATTCTTCATAGTGTATCTGGCCAGAGGCCAATAGAAGAGTTCATTGTAGTACAACAAGCAGTGGAATAAGGCTGGTAATAATAAGTCTAGTTCTAAGTCATATAAGAAGGTAAAAACAGCAAATTCAAGGACATCCTGGAACTACAATATCTGCTATGGATGAAAGGGGAGATTTTCAAATTTTGTTAAGTTAAATGTGATTTTTCACTACAAGTCAGGCTTATTACTATTACTATTATTATTATTACTAGCTTTACGGTACGCGCGTTGCGCGTGTACCTATATTAATGAGAACATAATCTTTTAAAAATTCTGTAAATATATCAAACTATGTATTTGTCTAATATAAATTATATAATAAAAGTTAAACAAATATTCTTGAAAAGGTTGAATGTTGTTCTCATTTTGTTAGCCCAATAAATGAAGAAATCATATTTGAAATAAGTTTTTAGATACTTTATTGTGATTTATGAGGACACATGTGGTCTTATGAAAATTATTGTTATTTTAGTTGCCTAATACTAAAAACAAAATACAAAAGAGAATAAAAAGGTTGGTCTTATAGCTCGAAAAAAAATTAATATTGAAAATATAAAATCTGAAAAATGAGTACCGTTGAATTAATATCTTACAAATAATTTAATATAGTGAGGTATCGTCATTTGGTGGAGTAAATGCAAGGGGAAAAAAATGATAACTTATTTACAATACATATTTTTCCTATTATTTCATCCTTAAATTTCATATAAAATACATAGTATAATTTCGATATATGAATTTCGGTATCTTATTTTTGTTTCACTTATTTGATTGAGTTTCTACTTTAACATGTAAAAGTTCGACAAAACCTTAAAATACATTATAGTTATTATTAGTATAATTATATTATTTTCAGATGTAGTCTTGGCATTTGTAAATTTAGTTATAGTTAATATTTTTACTCGTCCTAATATGTTTATAGGTTTGGTTTTACTTTGTGTAGGAGATTTCAATGGTCGTGACTTGAAATTACAAAGTCTAAAAAATAATTACGGTTGGTTAATATTTACGATAAATAGTTTAATATAAAAAAAATATAGTGAAGCTATCATTAGTAGGACTGAATGCCAAAAAAAAAAAATATTAAAAATGATGACTTATTATAATGTATTTTATTTTCTATTATTTTCATCCTTAAATTTCTTATAAAGAAATACGTTCAATTTATTACTATTAATTTGGATATATGAATTTCTGTATCTTATTTAAGCTTCAATTATCTAATTGGAATTGTGCTTTAAAATGTATAAGTTAACAAACATATATTAAAATACATAATAGTTTATTATTACTATAATACAATTATAATTATTATAAAAATTGTATTCTTGTCTTTTGTAAACTTATTTATAGATATTTTTTATTAGGTTTATAGGTTGATTTATGATGTATAGGAAGCTTTAGTAGTTTTGGATTTAAAATTAATCTGTTATTTTATTGATAAATTTTAATGCATACCCTTTAATTATTTTTAAGTTATTTGTTGTAAAGTTTATAGTGATAATCTTTAAAACATTCACACTACAAGAAAAACATCTTATATTTAAGAAGAAAAAAGAATAATGTAATAAAATAATAAAGTAGAAGAACAACATTGCAGAGAAAGAGAGAGTAATTCTTATTGAATTTCGGGATGATTTACAATGGGGTAAAACACCTCTATTTATAGGGGGGAAAATGACTTAGCCACAAAGTAAAACTCTCTAAAAGATAGACATTCACTCTAATTACAATTCTATTCATAACACTCCCCCTTGAATGTCTACTCAATAAGTAATGTGCCTTATTAAAAGCTTAACTAAAATAAAACTCAAGGGGAAAAAAATCTAGTAAAGGAAAAAGAGTACACATATCTAAAAATACGCCTTTTGGTTGCCTCGTTAAAAACCTTGCAAGGAAAATCCAGTGGGACAAAACCTTGTAAGGGAAAAAGAGTGCAACGCGTATTAAACTCTCCCTGATGAGAGCATTATTTCACATCCTTAAGCCTTCGCATCCTAATCTTGTGCATTAGCTTCTTGAAGGTTGACGTCGGTAGAGATTTTGTGAACAAATCAGTCGTATTATCACTTGAACAAATTTGTTGCACATTAATATTACCATTCTTTTGAAGATCATGTGTGAAAAATAACTTTGGTGAAATGTGCTTTGTCCTATCTCCTTTTATGAATCCTCCCTTCAATTG